AGTACATTACAGAAAATTCTCGATCTTATGACACGGATCGTTTTTGAAATTTGCGCCATGATGAGAAGAAATATTTTCATATGAACCGTATTAACGAAAACTTTGATTTACCACGTGCTGAATATGTAATTTTATTGTACGATACACTGAGTCATGCGCCTATTTCTGAGTTATATGAATTAGATTAACCTTGGTGAAATAACTTCTTTAGCTCGAGGCAGTTCTGCTCAACTTTAGGTCTTATTGGGACAAGCACCTGTTTGGAAAGGCAAAAGATGGGCATCAACAATAGCATTATAACAAGCGTACGAGTAGATCAGAGCTAAAGATTCTTGAAGATCATCACTGATTACACGTCATCCACTGAGATACTCTACTTTCGTGCATTACATTATTAAATATTGTTTAATCCAAGACTAGGACTCTGTGACTTTCGCCGGGCAATTTGGCTTTAGGGTTCCTTCCGTTATCCGATTTTTCCTCGTTATGAGTGTGTCATATACGCAAGTTGAGCTCCTGTAACATTCTCTGTTCTTTTCCTTTTGCCTCTACCGTCCACTAAGTAATTTGGCTATCAGATCATCTAGGCGTGTTCATCGACGATCGACACGACTTTAGCGGCCCAGTGCAACCCAGCTTGTAATTCTTCACATCCATCAGTTGTCTCCCAGGTCTGTCTTTCTTCTTTTGATCTCGTGGTTAGGCAGAAATCATATCCGTTAATTCAGTTAATCCAGTAAGGGCAACATTTTCACTGAGGTAAAATTGGAAATGTAGGAGTTACTACTGGCGACTGACCAAGGTTCCAGTGCATTCAGAAAAATTGTATTCTGAGCCTGTGTTGCTACTGTTGCCGTTGTCTAACGCTGGCGAAGCCTCAGCAATGAGGTAGGTTAGGTTTGTGTGTAACGGTTAGAAACGATATTTCAGATTAATAGTAGACGTCATCGCTGCATGTCGCAAAATTGATATTCGTCGTCATAAGAAGGAATATGCATGAATCTAAAGTTATTTCAAAGTATCGTTTTGTTATTAAACGTATCTGCTGCCATGTTGAAGAATAGGTAAAATACGTTCCGTTGTTCCGAGCATTGGCAGCAGGGTACAGTTGTATGCCTTGTTTTCTGGCTTTGTTCGATCCACGTTTAAAAATGACCCTCCTTTAATTTTGCAGTTCTGGATGTCGCCATAGAATGCCATCGCTTTTTCTTCCATTCGGTCTATATAATGAGGAAAGTTTACTTCCTTGAGATAGTAGAGACCATGATGAAGCGAATTCAACATTCGTGCAGCAGGCCAGGTGAATTGTCGTCACCAGTCGTTGCAGCATGGTATCGATCGATGGCCTATAGTTCAACAGATGTTTCATACTGTGCAACAAGAACCGATGGCCTCTTGAGCTTGATCGTCAAAGAATTTCGAACAAATACATTACAGAACTTACGAGAGAAACCCACTCAATCCCACTGCAAATGCTTCGAAATTCGAACAGTTTTTTTCATGTATCTGAGGACTTGAAAAGCATGGGGTTTAGCTTAAGTTGAGGCGCTGATTCTCAACAGCTGTATGTTGAAAGACTCGTCTGTGTATGGTAAGACTATAAGCAATAATGATGACGATGAGAAATAATAAGGATAATGGCACAGTAGGAGCATCGTGAAACCAAGAAACCGACATCCAACCCTCTCGGCGTGTTATTGTCTGCGAGACTGAACAGAAATCAAATCGTAAAGCGGAATCTACGGCTTGGGCATTCGTCTGATGATTAAGAATGATTTGTTGTCGCAGACCTTGTCAAAGCTACAGACTGAATTGTAGTTTGTGCTCGGTCGAAAGGCAGAAGTCCCAGTTGAAGGCTCTGAATGACTTGGAGCAAATGGCCCGGTG